ACTACTACGACTACTACGATTGCTACGACTACCACTACTACTCCTCCTCCTCGTCCTCCTACTACTACTACTACTACGACGACGACTACTACTACGACTACTACGACTACTACGACTACCACTACTCCTCCTCCTGCTGCCGCTGCTGCTGCTGCTGCTGCTGCTGCTGCTGCTACTCCTACTCCTACTCCCTCCTACTCCCACTCCTACTCCTACCCCTACTCCTGCTCCTACTCCTACTCCTCCTACTACTCCTCCTCCTACTACTACTACTACTACTACTACTTCTACTACTACCACCACCACTACTACTACTACTACTACTACTACTGCTACTGCCAACGCTAATGCTATGCTATTGCTACTACTGCGGCTATGTACTAGGGCTACGACGACGATGGCGACTTGTTTGTGCCGCTACATGCCGCTACTACAAGCGGAGCTAGCAGTGCAACAGGTTGGATGCGAGCTCCAGGCACGCTGGTCAACGGGGCAGCTAATGCAGCCTGGCTGAGCAGAAAAAACTCGGTGCTCAAGATGATGAGGAACATGATAGTAGTAGTCGTGGTCGTAGTAGCATTCATTGGGTGATAGCAGGAGGAGTAGTGGTAGGAGTAGTGGTGGTGGTGGAGGTGCAGATGGTGCAGGGTGGTGGTACTCGTGGTCGAAGTCATTTGTGATCGTGGACGTAGTCGTAGTAGTGGCGGTAGTAGAAACAGTAGTAGTCGTCGTCGTCCTCGTCGTCGGGGGGTAGTAGTAGTTGTTCTTGTTGTGGTGATGGTAGCAGCAGAAGAAAACCACGTAGTAGTAGCAGTAGTACTAGTAGCAGCAGTAGTAGTAGCAGGAGCAGCGGCAGGAGAAGTAGTACTTGTAGTAACAGTTGCAGTCGTTGACGTAGGCGGAAAAGTCGTCGTCGTCGTCGTCGTCGTCGTAGTAGTAGTAGCAGTAGTAGTAGCAGTAGAGTAGTAGTCGTAGCAGCAGCAGCAGCAGCAGGAGGAGTAGTAGTAGGAGCAGAAGTAGAAGTAGCAGCAGCAGCAGCAGCAGCAATAGTAGCAGTAGTCGTCGTAGTCGTCGTAGTAGTAGTCATAGTGATAATACAAGAAGAAGAAGTAGTAGTAGTAGTAGTAGTTGACTTTGTAATTCGAGTAGGGGAAGTAGAAGCAGGAGGAGCGGCGGCAGCAGCAGCAGCGAAGCAACAGCAGCAGCAGCGGCAGCAGCGGCGGCGGCAGTGGCATTAGCCGAGGCAGCAGCGGTCGTTGTCGACGTCGTGAGGGTAGTGGCAGCAAGTCGCAGCTGCAAGGTAGTACTTAGCAAGTAGGTAGTAGGTGGTAGCTAGTCGGCAGTCGGTAGTAGGTAGCAGGTAGTGGGTAGTGTGTAGTGATCGTTGTCGTAGTGGCGGTGCTGCTGCTGCTGCTGCTGCTGCAGCACCATGCTGTTGCCGATGCTTGTGCTCGTGGCGGCAGTAGTGGCACTCATAGTGGTGGAGGAAATGGTGGTAGCAGCATTGGTACCGGTATCAGGAAGAAGAGCACCAGCAGTAGAGTGGAGCAGGAGCAACATCAGCAGAAGCAGCAGCCAGAACTGTCATGCATCGTGGTAGTGCTTCGTGGCTACCTCAGACGAAACAGCAAGCAAAAGCTACAGCTATGAAAGATGCCAATTGTCTCCCCAATCCGGCCCAAACCCAAGGCACTCTGATCGAATATCGTCAAACCAAAAGTGACAGCGCTGTGTAGCCTAAGTGCTACTGGGATTTGAGGTTCTTGGGTTCAGGGCAGCAGTTGGCCAGGAAGCATCCAAGGGCTCTCCAACTCAAACTCCCACAACAGGCCGCTGTAGCCGTGTCGGGATATCCCTTGATGACATTCGGCAGCTGCCGCACCTGGGAAGAGAAGTCCAGTCCGTGTGGATACTCCTTCCTTAAGGCACAGCATCATACAGTAGAAAGCCTGACAGACATGTAAACCTAATGAGCTACAGCATCGTGCCTCGTAATGTCCTTTTGTATGGCCCCCTAGCACTAAAGCGGCTGGTGGGTCGGAGCTTTCGTCTAGGGCTTAGGGTTAGGAGGACTCAGCGGTTAGTGCTTCGGGCTTAGGATTTCGGATATGAGTTTCAAGGGTTAAGAAATAAGTCGAAGCGGTAGGGACAGAACGGCAAGAATGGTGACTGCAGCGATCGGCTGAGCAACAAACACAAGGCACGAATGGATTCTCACCAGACATACAGCCAATGAAGCATGGAAACCGGCGCTCTCATCCCCAAATGAACCCCACCAACAGCAATGTTCGTTGTCGTCGTGGTAGCATGCCATGCAAACTAACGCGATGCCGAGGAGGATAAGAAGAATGATTAGGACGACGAATGTGGGTCCGACACTGGGTCATGATGGTGGCGGCGCCGATGAAGAAACATGGTTGGAAAGGAGACAAGCTACTCTGGAGGACATGTGAGGCTACTTGATGTCACTTGCCATGAATGTAAGTAATGTAAGCTGCCAGCAGCCGCTTCGTCTGACTCCTGGCCCACAGCTCTTTGTCAAAGCTACCCTGCCACTCTGCCTTGGCATGCCTGAAGTGGAAAAAAACTGTGCATTGATACTCCGAATCCTACACTCCTAAAGGAACTCCGCCTCTACTTGCGTCTCCCGTCGGCAAATGGGACCTTGGAGCGGCAAAGTTGCAGCGACCAACTCCTAATAACTTGCATTCGACAAAGCCCGTCAAGATGAAGAAGCAAAACCCTCGAGGCAGCGGCACTGTGTTATGCGATATTCTCCCGGCTGGAAGGCAATCGGACCTCAGCCGTAGCTCGCGTGTGCGAATTTCCCGGTGGCACTCGCGGCGTCATCTGATGTTGACTTTTCACGTTGGCTCTGCTCCATTCCGCTGGGAGCGCAACCGAGAACAAAGCACTTCCAACAGAACCTGCACTTCACACATGCAGAGTCTTGCATTCGACTTCACCTATCTATGCTGCATGCATTTCCTGCGCCGCAGTCGTCATACCAGTCGGACTCAATGAGGAGCATCGGGTTGTTGCCCCCCCACAGCCCTAGACCGCATTCACAACCCCGGTATACAAGCCTGTGTTTGCAAGAGAGCTCCACCATATCGGAGATGGTGTCGAGGCAGATGGGACACTGTTGAGGCTCCTGCTGAGCAGATCTGAGCAGTCTAGGTCGTCCTTTGGGATAGCTTTTGCCGTGCTGCTCGTGCACGTCTCGACAACAGCAGTAAATAAGTATGTATATATGTGTATCTATGCCACTTCAGTTTCTTGCCAACTAAATCGCGCACACGCACGTACGGGCATCCGTGAGCTCATCCACACATGCATACACATGCAATACGCAGGCCTGTATGGACAGGGATCCCACGCATATCGGAATGACTTTCTGTGAATGCAGATACATACGCAACATTTGTACTTATTTCTTTTATCTATTCAATGACTTTGTATGGTTCGTATGAGAAAGCTTGTGGGGCAGTCGTGTGCACATACGATTATTTTCCGGCATGCATCTTGTTGCACAAACTCCCTCGCTCTCTCTGGAATCCTGACAGCATCTACTCTACTCCCAGCTTAGCAACAAAACCGAAAGCGCGCCTGATTGGACTTTGACCGATATGCTGCATGCTCATGTCCAGCTTCCTGCAAGACAGCGCTCTTCACATGTTATTGGGCATTGTGCTGCTGGAAGAGCCAGCGTATGATTACATTGGACATAGCTGCAAAAGCTGTGTGAGTCCCCCTGGATATAGCATCTGAGTACCTACTTGCAGAGTTTGTCATGATTGCCTGAGTCCATTCTTACCCCATTAGTCTTGTGCCCGTGCTTTTCATTGCTCCCGAAGACGCGCTGCAGACTTGGACGTACCTAATGTTAACACAAGCCCATCGATTTTGGCCGTCACCTCTGGCAGGATCTCCGAGAGAACCAGCCTGAGAAGGCCAGGACCGGTAGGGCAAGACAAAGGGGCTTGAAGTGGATGCGCCTCTGGCTCCGGTCACAGGCAGTGACCAGAAATTGCTTCGTATTGCTTCAACAACGCAAGAGGCAAAGGCCTCCTCGCCTTTGTGTTTTAGCTCTCTGTTCATCGATTTCTGTGGCAGATATGCCATGTATTTGCTGTTGATGATGAAAATGGATGAGGAGGATTGACAATTGTCACACTTCTACCCTGACGGCAACTGCTAGTGACCAGCACTGCACTCGCTAAGACTCAGACGTCACTAAAATAAACCTTGTTGTGAAGGGGTCGTACTTTGTTTGATGCGAAGCTGCGGCCCCTGCATGTGCCCCAGCGACTCGACGGAAGCGTGGAGCTCCGCAAAGTCAGAACCGCTGAAGAAGCATTGTCCTTGGAAAAAGTTGAACACTTCAGAAGGTCGTGGACCTGTTTTGGGTTCACGCGATGAGCAAAGCACTTGAGGTAGCACGCATATTCATCCGAAAGAATACTACACTGCAATCGGCAGATGGGTTTCAGGTTATGAGCAATAGTCACAGCAGTTGCTCTCGTTGGAGCAGCATGGTTGAGGTTCTTTCCGAAAGCTTAGCTTACGCTTGGTGAGTCTGGGTCGCCGGCGCGACATCCATCCGGCTCTCTCTGCAGCCGTGTCCTCGATTCCGAAGCCTCTGCCGGCGTCGGATCAGCGTCAGACTATCCATGGGTCTGCTGCCGGATCGGTCGATGACAGTTAAACCTGTTTTGTAGCACGATTTCCGCTCACGGCAACAAAGGGTGATCAGGTGAAACTTATCCAGGGGGGTGAACATTTTTAAGCACACACTCACCTTGGACTACAGGACGTATGAAGTGGCTGATGAGCCCTCTTCGGGCCCGACTGGTTTGCTTGCGGCGCTTCTTGAGGATCTTCACCTGGGTCTGCGGTTCGCAGGACTTCTCCCGAGTGGCACAATCAGAATCACGAAGGTCTAGGGAGGAAACTATTCTTCCTCCTTCGGCTGACTTTTGACACACATCTACGTCTCCAGCGGTTGTCAGCGGTTGTCGCTAATTCTGCTAATTGTGGTGGGAAGTCAGAAAGGGTCTTAGTCTACTTCTTCATGACGAAGATGTATACTAAGCTCGTTGTGGCTGCAATGTTGCACTGCTTGTGAGTGTCACGGCTTCACTACTAGGAAGCTGCTGCTGTTGCCGTTTCGCAAAACACTACAGCTAGCATGTGTGTCTTCAAAGGAGATCGAGGACGACGACGAGACACAAGCGTGCCGGGTGAGGATAGCGGCGACGAGTCCGAACTGTCACATACACACACACACACACATAGACACACAAACCAACCGATAGATCGCAAATTCAAGACTGTATCAGCAAGATGGTCGCAGCAGCGCAGGGCAGCAGCTGCTGCTGATGCTACGTAATCTGAGCCGCTTGGTGGTGGGCACATATGCAAACGAGAGAGTGAGAGAGAGGGAGAGAAAGAGAGAGAGAGAGAGAGAGAGAGCGAGAGATCGAAACCAACAAGAAGAAATAGGAGCGAGGTTTAGAAATTCAGGAATGATGACTCCAGGCGGTGCAAGTCACGACCGTACAACCTGTGTGCAGCCCAGGTCCCGCATGTAAGACCCTAGCAACTGCAACTGCATTCCAGACAGCATATTTTCGTAGCTGGTCCACCTGACGATCGAGAAGCCGAAGCGGAACGACAGATTGCAAAGCTACAGTGCTCTCTGTTGGAACGATTCTAGCAACTAAGGCCAACACGGCAACACCCAGGCCTCGTCTCCTAAAGAGTCTCACCTCGGTGGCCTCCTTCGTACCATGATCCCATCCCACCTCCTGGAGAATGTCCACCAGCTGCCTAGGAGCAACACTGGTTCACCCATAGAGTCCCTTAAACTCAGAGGCCGTTCTGAAAAGCTGTGCACCAAACTAGATAAAGCCGAAGGTGGAAGCTCTGAACTGCTTTCTCCTTTGGATACTTCGCGGGGCTCTAATCGGATAGATGATGGGACGTGGTAGGTACTGTACCAGGTGAGCTACCTCACGTATCGCGAACGTTTCACGAAAAAACGGGGCATCTGCATCTCAGTGCTGTGGCAGCGGGCCTTAGGGTCTTTGGCAATACACGAAACACTCTCCCTGAGGGGAGGCGAGACGTGACCACAAGCAAGCACAGAAGCCAACAGCAGCAGCGCTGAAAGAAGCTAAGCTCTGCAGCAGTTCTACCTTCAGCGCAGATTCTACTCAAGAAACTCGCATGGGAGGCTTCAACTTTTTATCTTTGCTGACACAAGCGATTGTGTGTTTCGGACCCGCTTCATTCATGCAGACAGGTCTTTTGCTGCCGGTTCGAGTCCAAGGTTTAGGAAACATCTTGAATCCAGGCCTGTCATACATAACTCGAAGCTGAACACAAAAATAAACCTGACACTGGTTCAAGATTGACGATGTCTAGAAAGCTTCGAGTCGCAAAGGCTTGAATGGACAAAGCACTCGCCTGCTCGGACTGGTAATCTTGGTCTACAGGTGCTCATGTATGTAGAAGCGGTGTGCGAACACTACCTCGAATCAGCGGCTGCAGTAACGAAAGAAAGCACCTCAGGGGCTGCTGGCTGCTAATGAAAGTGTTATATTTGTTATATGCTCCGGCGCACCTCATCGCGTCCGCCCGGGATAAGGCAATGCGGCCTCGCGCAGCGAGATGCTGGGCTCCATTTGCAAACTTGAACAAAACAGCAGATGCTAGAGCCGGGGATACCCCCACCGTGTGGAATTGCTTTGGGTGCTCCATGCCAAAAACCTGTGCCCCACACGAGGATGGCTTTTTGTGGCTTTCAAAAACTTTCATGTTTGTATATAACATATATATATATAGATATGCATACTGTATAAAACATACGTACTCGAGTGGGGGTAGTTGCAACTCTGCTACAACCCTTGCAGTGGTGAATGGACTACGAGTGTATACCACTGCAGACTTGCATGGGCTATGTGCTTCTGCCCCTGTGCCAGCTTCTAGATGCAGACATGCCGGAGCTTTTACCATCCAGTGATACCCAAGGCGGAATCCAAGTCTGCACAGGTATCCACACGACTTTCAGCTGAAGGGATCCGTTGACGAAGCTTGCTCTGGCAAACTTGAGAACTGCAATGAACTGCAGACACCACAGCAATCATCACTGGACGCCCTCCTTGTTGCCCTTTGCCCTTCAAGTGCAATGTCGATTACTATGACTATGAGTGGTGCGCAGGATTGCACCGACATGTTCATCGGACTGGGGCGACCGTCAAGAGGCAAGATTACCATTCATGGCCCACAATTGAACTGGACGGCTCACGCAGAACAGGCTGACAGCGCCCATGCCTCCCTCGTCGCTGCATCCCTGGCGTGGACAGACACGGCTAGATGCCTTCGGAATTCGTTCATGGCATCCTGTGCTCCTGCACAAAAACCCGGCAGACTCCAGATTCTGAAGATTCCCAAAGCAGACTTCAAGACCCAGGACTAGGAGGCAAACTTCTCTTCCTCCGAGAACTAGAGTCCCTAGAGATGGAAGCCTTCCGCTGCTGGAGCTCTTCGGCCAGTTGCGCTGTCCTAACGGGGTGTCAAAATTCATGTGGTCTCGTAGTTCCAGATCAAGTTCCGGAGAGCAGCCAACTATCCCGGAATGGAGCCCGACCAACGGCCAGACAGCAAGACTTTCAAGAGGATCCCACGATGATGGCCGTCCTATCCAGCAGATCATGCTGGTTTTGTGAGAAGCACTGGTTGACCTGGCGAAGCCGTGCAGCCAGTATTCTTACCGCAGCACAACGCACAAAGCCTTGCTGCACAAAGGCTAAGAGAGCGAAGCCTTCAACATCGGGAATGCAAACGAGCATCACGCAACATCGTCACAGGAACATCACAGGCATCATCTTCTTTGCCCGCACAAGTCCCGCACGCGGCCGATTTCCGCCGCTAGCTCTTCCTCGAAGACTGTGTTGGCGGTCAAAGCCTGGCAATTCTTTCCCACATAGTATGGAGTTGCCAGTGGTTCGGATGAAGATAAGCTTGAGCTGAAGGCTCTGAAGCTTGAGCCTCCGCCAGTTCGCTGGCCTGGAGGCGCCCGACAACATCCTTGATCCTGCCGTGACAAGATCTTTTCGCTCGGTCAACTACGGCCGGCTCATGGTCAAACTCTACACGAATGTTCAGCACTTCCCAAACCTCTGTTGCTGCTTGCTGTGAACCTGAGAGCCGCACTTCTTCTTCAGAAGCTTGTACTCAACGTAGTGAAGGTCTGCATGCCCCTTTCCATGAGCACAGTACTGTCGGCGAAAGGCGTCTTGTCTCGCGCTTTGGAAATCACCGCTGCCTCTTTCTTGTCCGCATGCAAATCAGTCCATCTCTCGCTCCCTCTAGCGCCTTTGCTTTGCTTTGCCTTGGGGCTTGAGGGGCTGGCTCTCGCTCGTTCTCTCTCCGGACTCCCTCTCTCTCTTTCTTTCGCCAGGGATAGGGGCAAGAAGGGCAAGCCCCGCTTACCGCGCGTTAGCGCCCCCGACTGTTGCAGAGCGACTTATTGAATCGGCGGACTCCACCGAGGCTACGACTTCTGACGTGGAAGTATGAAACAGCAAGGGAAACAGCGACCCGAATGAAAGAAAGATTGTGCCGAAGGCCATCAAGGCAGAAGTCTCAGCAACGGAGTTCTTCCCGGGGATCCAGCGGAGCGGCGGCAATTTAGTATAGGAGACATCATTAGGGCCATCCGAATGACTCAAGCCACGTAAGTGCTAGAAACACGACAACAGTTGACACATCGTGGCCCGGCTGTCTCCACTGCCTGAGGTGCTGTTTACCCTAACTCACATGCTTTGCACTCGGCTAGGATGTGGCTTGCAACTCCACGATAACGGCCCACAGCATTCGAGGACACGGCAAACCAAATAAACCAAACGTCCAGCCTAGGGCCTGGGGTCAACGGCAGCAGGCCGGCGTGGAGGGGGACAGGCTGTATGCTGTTCTCTATCATCACCATCATCACCATCACACTGCTACTATACTACAGGACTGTTGTTCCGAATTCTTGATTGCTCGTTACTTGTAGCAAGCCAAATACTTCATCTGGGGATTCAGCTTCTCTCTCGCTGACATGGCCCACATCACAATGCAACCTGCGACACCAGGTTCAACGCCCAACTCCGTTGCAAGCACGCACCTCTTGCTGGCTGCCAATGCTCTTTCCGAACCTCCGCGTGCAAACTAGGCGACCGACACCGAGAAGTCATCACAGGACACTGCTGCTGGTACAAAAGCCGTCAGGCACCGGCTTCATGTTTGATGAGGCTGATGCAAGCAGCAACGAGCAAGTGGCCAGTGTACTTGATTCTCTTCAGTGCTTGCCTGCCAATGTGTCCTTCCAACGTACGTACTCTCTAGTGTTTACCATGTTTGTCAGTTGCTGACGCATTTGCATGGCAAGATTTGGGAAGAGGAACCTTCGTGAGCCATCATGCTGCGATCGGAGCAATGACAAACAGACTGCTCTGCCTGAGTGCAAGTCCATGTGACCATCAATCGGAACAGCATGAGCATTTCCACTTGCGTCCTAGACTTAGAAACTATAAAGCTTTCCGACGACACTCAGTAAGGATAAGCAAGTCGCCAGCCAATCCATGGCAAGTCCTGGGCTAGACGCTGACCCAAGAGTTCCCTACACTCCATCGCGAGGCAGAAACAATTGCTTGCTATCATATAGATATTAACTGAAATAAGGCAGCCGGAGCTGCAAAAACGCATGGAACTTAAAGTTCGTTCACGTCACGACATCGAAACATCGACATGTTTCTGGAGATACACGGGAAGCGCGACTCATTCATTGGCGCTTCCACACACAGTGAGACTGTGACCTGTTGAGCAGGCTTGCTTGCGGGTCGCTAAGGAGCTGATTAGCTGGCATTTGCTTAGATAAAGCAACAAAACCTTACCCAAAAAATGCATTTATGAAAGCATTGCACAACCGCACATCTAACACGAAGGGAAGCGACTTTTGGAACCTCGGAGTTGCCTCGAACCGACCAAGCCGCCGATTCATCCTCGAGGCGACCCACGACCCGCCAGCCACAACTTCTGTACATTCCAACTTGGCCTTCTTGGAAGGCCTACTCAACTTCGGCGATTGCCGCCGAGATTGCACCCAGGCCTCATGCTCAGGAATCTGTTATGCCCGGGTTTTTAAGACAAATTCGTGGAGACAGTCGCATCTCCCAGGTGACACGGAACTTGACAGGCACGGCAGACTGCAAGACGCGGACACAGTACTGCAGCCAGCACATGAATGCGATGAATCCCATCCGAAGTTGCAGCAGAAACAGATAGGCGCCAAGCTCAAAGCCGGACAGAACTTGGCCGTGGGAGTGCGAAGTAGCGACGCCCCTGCACGAGGAGACTAGTACCAAGGAAGCAATCATGAGCCTGTGGACCTTGGATGGAATAAGGTACTACCTGTAGCATCAAACAAGTGTCTTGGACAAGATAATTTCGGCGGGAAGATGGTGCATGACAGAGGCCAGCCTCATACCGCACTGTAATTTTGTCACGACTCTGACACATGGCCAGGGCGCGGCCTTCACACGTGTGGGAAAGCTATGGTAGCCGCGCCGCTTCTTCAAGTACCACAGGCTCATGAGGAGCTCCTGCGCAGGTCCGCGACTGCCCCACAAGCTCCGCTATGCTCCGCTGACGCCTCCTAGGCCTAACCCTGAATCACTGAGGCCGGCTACCAGGCGGAACAGGCTGTCGAAGACTCCAACGATCAACGCAGCAGGTATGACAACGCAAGCAGTTTAGCATAAATTTAACACTGGCTACGAGAAGATCTTGACGATGGCCATGGATCCTCCTCGTTGACATCATCTTCGAGCTCTGCTTCAGCGCCAATGGCCGCTGCCAGCAGCCCCAGGCGTCCTATGTTGATCGACATGTCAAAGAGGCCCTTCTCGAACACCTGGGGCTGGGGCACGTGGACAGAACAAAAGCAAAAGTAGACTTCACACAGTTCTTCGTCGGCTTACTGCGGCCATAGTCTATTTGTTTCATTCCGGCCTCGTCCTCCTGCGATAACGCCACTGGGTCGAAAACAGGCCCTTCGGAACCCAGCTGACCCGACTCCGGCCGTCCAACTTCCAGAAGGCCACTGAGAAGACACTGGTCCAGAAAATCGTTGCGCTTGAGCGGCCGCAGATCCAGACTTTGTGACCATGACTGGATCGCAACCGCAGCAAGCATTTCAATGTGTCTTTGCTTCAGCAGCCGTGTCTCTGAAAAAGACACGCTCTTTGAGATGGAAGGAGAACTTCTGCTAAGCGCTCCCTTGGGTTTGCTGCGGGGGGCGAGCGGCAAGGACGGCAGCGGTAACGGGACCTCAGCCCCGGCGCAGAGTTTTCTGACCGCTCTGATCTGCTGAGCTCTCCACACTGCAGCCAGCTTCAACGCTGCACGCACCGCTGGGGCAGAAGACAAAAGAGAAAACAGAGAGACAAAAGTCAACTAAGCTATCCAGAAACATTTATGGGCCTTCATCTGAGGCCACTAGTCCGTGCTGAGGTTGAGAATATTATATATGCAGAACTGAAAGCTCAAACAGATATTGACACCAAGCAGCTGTGCAGGAACCCTGAAGAAGCTTACGAGAGTGCCCAATCCAAGTGCAAGGTGGTCAACAACTCCGAGGAGTCACATGTTTGGTTCGGCTTCGGAAACTCTTCTCAAACTACCACCACTAGGTAAGTTTGGTGTCCTCTGAATTAAACTAGAGTCGCATAACAATTGTGCACACAGGTCCTCTGACGCGTATTCAATGAGGCCAAGGCAAGATTTGAACTCTTCATGCGGGATAACGCAAGCGAGGTTTCTTCCTCGTTTGCCGCCCACGCAACCCGCTTAGTCCCACTTTTTCACCCCGGTCTTCGGAACGAAATATTCTTTCCAGCGGAGTGTATTACATCTCAACTGTACTATACTCTTCCGGGCTCATGACCATCAGCGGGGCCGGCAAGGGATCCAACGTCATGCTGCCTCGGGGCGTGCGATTTCTCGACAAGTAACTACAGTCTGATGCCAAGTCTAGCGAGTGTCGCTCAAAAATCAAAAAAGCATTGAGTTGGCTAGCCTGTCAAAGACAAAGAGATTTCCATGTGGAGGGCTCCCGAGGCTCAGACATGTTTTTCAGACGCACAGTACCCGCCCCAAACCGTATCCGTGTGTTCAGGCAATAAACTAAGCCGTGACCGGAGAAGGGGAACAGGGAACGTCCTCAAGCTGAAACAATTGAATTTAGACCGTGGGACAGCCAAACACTATAGCGATCAATTGCTGGCATATGCCGCGTGCCTAAATTCCATTAATGTTATCTAAGTTATTGGATGTTGTTGGCTTCCTTTCAAGTCAGTCGTAATTCCGGCCATTTAATCTAGCAAACGACCCCACAGCACAGAAAGCTTGGCTACAAGAATTGCAAACGCTGTGTTGCCACATAATTTGCATCCAGTTTCCGCAGTAGAGGCCAGAAGGGAGTCAGGAATGCATCGCACTGGCTTGCCTTGACCCGGTTGTTGACAGCAAAAACTTTGATTGTTGGAGCTGTGTTTCTACAAAGATGCAGTAAACAATTCTCTGATACTGAACATGTGCGAACTTGTCTTACATTTTTCAAAGTGGACCTGCTGCTCTTGAACGGACAAAGCCCTTGTGAAGTGTGGTGTGTTTTCCACAGATATCCAGGTTGCCAACCCCCCCTCGCCAAGTCTTTGCACGCTTGCTGTCTGGACAAAGGCAGCGACTTGGCCATCTACGAATCTACGAGCCCTAGGAATATACAGCTGCAAACGACTTGCTGTCGGCAAGTGTTAGCAATTGCACCAAGGAAATGGCTTCCCGACTACACAAGAAACAAACAGCCTTTTGGTGTGCTCATCGTGGGAGTTGCGGAATTTGGCTAGCAAAATTAGATCAGCAATCTAACAGCAAGACGATCGTGAAGATCGACAACAGCTCATTGACTGCGCAACGGCCTTAACTTTCCTATGGCCCCTCTGCTGCGGCCGTGGCGGGGCTTCCGCGCGCCGGCAGGCGAAGTAGAAGCCCTCCCAGGCCTAAATCGGATGTACCCAAGATGCAGAGCGTTGGCTGCACTCTGCTTACAGAATGGTCTGGCGGCCAGCGGCTGTCGGTTACTGTATTGTGAGAAACTGAGGTTCGGGGTCTTGGTGCATGGACTCTACAATTCATGCGCCACCGACACTTCCATCAAGACCTTCTGCCCAGAAGGTGAAGTGTGAAGCATCAAAACACCGAGTGCTGCTCAGCTTTGGTAGAGAGGGCGCGGAAGCCGAAGACGTCAGCCCTGGCAGGACAAGGAAACCTTGGAAACATCCACGACTCGATCGCCTCGCAAAGACTCCAAGAGATTTCTTCGAGTGTTCGAGTGTATTTAGATTTACATAGGGGAGAACATGCAGGAATCTGCAACGCGCCCGAGACAAAATGCTCAAGTTGCGACCTCAGCACACACCTCGAAGGAGAAGCGGCACGAGTAGTTGGTAAAGTCTCAGCAACGGCACGAGCAGGAAACAACACAAAAGCAGCAATAAGAAAAGTGGTCGTAATGAATATTCACTGCCACAGCAGCCGAAGAAAAAGCTCAGCTGGACCGATAGTGGTGGTGAAAGGGCTGGGTGCCTCTGGTAGAATAATAAGTCGCGATGGCAGTGGCAGCAGCAGTGTTGGTAGCGGCATTAGGATCACGAGGTCTTGCGCTGCTGCTTACATGGACTACGATTGCATGCATGTACTATCGCGCACCCGCACATGCCCCGCATATATATATATACATACATACACACACGTGTGTATATATATATACATATATATATATATTATGTACGTACATAGATGTATGTATGCATGCATGTATGCATGTATGCATGCAAGTATGTCTGCATGCACGCATGTAAATTTGTTTGTTTGCTTGCTTGTGTGTTTGCTTGTCTGTTTGCTTCTGTGCTTGTTGTTTGTTTGTTTGTTTATCTGCTTCTTTGTTCGTGTCTTTGATTGTTGCTTCGTTTGTGTCTTTAAGTGTTTCTTTCTTTGCATCTTGATGTGTTTCGTTGTCTTGTTTGTTTGTTTGTGTGTTTGTGTTTGTATTTGTGCGCGCGTATGTAAGCATCTATGTAATGTATGTATGTTTGTAGGTATGTATGTATGTATGTATGTATGTATGTATGTATGTATGTATGTATGTATGTATCTAAACATAAAAAAGTACTTATGTATTTATTTGATTATCTACAGTTGTATTTTTATGTATACATAT